GCCCCGCCTTGTCCCCACATGACCCGCCCGGAGGCTTCCAGGCCAGCGACGCCACAACAACCCCCCTTCCCACCACATGCAGCATGCAAAACACAGCCAACACAATACACTCACACGCTAACCCCCCTCAAAGGGCCACGCACCTTGTCGTCCATCTGACCCACTATGTCTGCCGCGCTGAAGGGCAGCGTTGAGTCGTCGTCCAGCAGGAAGCTGTGGGAAGCTGCGCTGCTGGCGCTGCTCTCCACCATGGCCTGCTTCATGCGCGCCAGCACCTCGCTGCTGACCGTCTCGGTGTTGTACTTGTCATCCCAGTACCTGGGGGGGGGGGCGCAGGGTGGAAGGGCGGGGGTAACTTGAGTGGGAGTAGTGTGTATTTGAAGTACGTGGAGGTGAAAGACTCCTCTGTGTGTGTGTGTATGTGTGTTTGCGTGTGTGTGTTGACCGCGCGGTTGAATGGAACTTGGTGGATTTCAGCAGAGGGCAGCGTTGGGGTGTGTGGCGGCTTGGGTAGCCGCTGCAGTAGACCCTGTCCAAGGCCATCGGGGTTTGCAGCGCAGGGCCGGCACATGTGCCAGGGCTGGCGGCCCGCTGGCACCGTAGGGCGCCCCGGGGCCAAGGCGTCGCCGCCCGGACGACGGCCGCTGCCCCAGAGGGCCGAGTGCCGTGGGCCACCGCAGTCCAAGTGACTCGACTCATGTGACCCCCCTGCCTGGATCCACACACAACACAGGCCCCCCCCCTCAACATCCCTCCCTCCCCCGCCCACACATCAGTAATGAACCCACATGGTGCTGATGCGGTAGAGCTGCTGTATGGAGAGTATGGGGCACAGGTCGCGCGTGATGTTCTCCAGCGTCTTGCGCGGCTTGTTGCCTATGACCAGGAAGGTCACCGCCTGGCGAATGTACTTGAGCTCGTCCCAGCTGTCGCCCACCCACTCGGTGCCGCGCTCCTGGATCCAGGTCTCCACCTGCGCCGGGTCGTGGTTTTGGGGGGCGGGAGGGCGGTGCCGTCGGTCAGGGGAGTGTTGGTGTGTGTGTTGCGAGTGTGTCTCATGTGAGTGACATGTGAGCAACGTGTGCATGTATGTGTTGACCGCAAGATGCTGGTGTGGTGATCAGACAGTCCGCTTTGACTGGCTGCCACAACAACCTCAAAACACGATGACAGAAGCGGTACAGCTGTAAACCCCCACTTTTGGATGAACTTGGCGACAATCCAGCAGCCACACTCTCCAGCCCAAGCCTCACACACAGACACAGACACACGCACGCACACACGCACGCCCACACACAAGCGCGCACACACCGCCGCCCCCTACACACGCGCATACACCCACCTGCGCCAGGCCGGTCTTGACGTACTCCCCGTTGCTGAAGGAGCAGCACTCGCGCCGCAGCAGCAGCTGGTTGAACAGCTGCACGTTGACAAACGCAAACAGCTGGCGGAACAGCGCCTGCAGGGGCAGACCCGGGTCCGATCGCGTTCGGGCAGGGTTGAGTGTGTTTGTGTGTGTATATGCATGTGCATGTGCATGTGCATGTGCATGTGCATGTGCGTGCATGCGCGGGCACATGCTGCACAAACGTGTCGTCGTGCACCCAAAGCCAGGGCCCAGCACAGCCGCAGCGACCTGCGTGACGGTGAGAGCGTCGCGCGCCGCTGCTGCACCCAACCATCCACAAGGGGGACTGCCGCCAAGCCCCGGCCGAGCGCACGCAAAGCCCAGGCCGCCTGCCCCGCAGCCGCCGCACCTGCACCAGCGGCTTGGGCACAAATGCGGCGCGCAGGTCGTCCAGCAGCCCGTCCAGCACGGCCAGGATCTCCCCCCACGCCTTGCCCTGCGCCGCGCCGCCGCCGCCGCCGCCGCTCGCCGCCCCGTGGTCCACCCCGGACGCGCTGCGGCGGCCGGGGCCGAGGGCGCGGCCGCTGGCGCCGCGGGGCGTGTGTATGCAGTGGGCCTTTGGGGGGGAGGCCGGGGCATGGGAGTACACAAAGGGGGCGGAGAGGCGGCGAGACAGGTTGAGGGAGGCGAGCAATACCACTGGAGGCCCGTGACCCATGTCTGCATGCTGCGCCCTGCGAGCGTTGCTGCAGACCAGAACACCTTGACGGCGGCGTTGCCATGCCCGCGAGCGCTTCCAAGAAGACTGCAACACGCAAGGCAGCCATCCATAGGGTATACGCCCGACGCATGATGTCTGATGCAACCGTCTCACGCGCATGTGACTTGTCAGACACACCAACACACATACATAGACCACCGCACCCCCCCCCAAGGAAAACAAAACGGGCGCCGCCCCCCCACCAGCAGGGGCGTGATGGCCTTCTTGACGTTGTCGCGCAGCATGGGGAAGATCTTCTGCACAAACGCGTCCAGCTGCTGCTTGAACAGCAGGGCAGGGTACTTGGCCTCAACCAGGCGGAAGCCGCCCACGCCGCCGCCGTGGATGGAGGCCTCGCCTGCAGGTGGGTGTGAGCACGCAGCAATGGCGGCCGCGGTGACGTTTGGGGTGTGTGTTTGATGGGATTGGAAGACGTGCTCTGCTTTTGATGGACGAGATCAAGACCGGTTCACGTGGTGCCAGGCACAGCTTCCTGCGCCCAAAAGGCAGCGTTTGATGAAGCCTGACAAAGACAGAGATTTGGAAGAGGCGCCCGCGCTCACCGCCGCCCATGGACGCGCCGCGCCCCAGCCAGTTGTTCAGCATGCTGCCCGCCGCGCGCCCCGCCGCCGCCGCGCGCCCCTTGAGGCTGCCGCTGCTGGCCGGCTTGATGTTGCGCTGAAGCAGCAGCAGCAGCGTGGTGGTGTTGGTGAGCCAGTAGCACAGCCGGGGATTGTCCTCCTGGTGGCGCTCGATCTGGGCGCCGATGACCTACAAGTGACGTCAGCACCGGGCAAGGCGGGGGTGAGCCGCCCCGTTATCCGGAGGTTGGGAGGGTCGAAACCAGGAATTGGAAGCAGGGGGACGCACGCAGGTGGGGAATTGCAGTCGGCAGGCCCGTCAACAAACGCCTGAGGTCAATACGTGACAGACGTATGGTCCTCAAGCCGCTGCCGCAGCCCCCGCGCCGCAGCCCTGCCCGCGCTCACGTGTATGATGCGGTCGAAGACGGACGTCCTGTCTGCCTGGAACGCGCGCCACTGCAGGCAGCAGCGGAACACG